TTGCCAAGATTACCTTCCGTAAACATGATCTCTCCTTTAATGTTTACATTGGTGAAGTCCCTCCTTGTCCGACCATATCAACCTGCCCCCGTCAGTAAGGATAAGTCCGATCAGTGTCAGAATAGTTGGCGTCTAGGCCTGCCTGCCAAACAATGCCATTCCTGAGCCCGATGCCCTCTCTGTGCGCAACTTGGTATTAGTCGATCATATTACTCTGCAGTAACGCACATGTGTCAATTTTGGCGGCTCCCATAATGTATATTATAGGGGATGCCCCACTTATAGGTTCGAGGGTGAGTTGGCAACTCTCAGATTCAGACTTAGCCTCACTCTACGCGAAGCCAGACAGGGAGCAAATCGACTAGGTTTCTCTCTCACCCCCTACTCCAATAATCGCTCTACCCCACCCCTTTCCTCCCACTCTCTCCCAACACATCGCATTCCCCTCTGTCTCTGCCGCATCACCCCCTCCCCCTCCTAACCCACTATCCCTCCCGCTTCCCCCTGGATGTGACCCTTTGTCACAGGAACCCCTTGCCCTGGATTCTCTCCCTCCTGACGTTTTTCACTGAATCTGTGACCCAATAGTGCTATATGACCTTTGATATCTAGTACATATGATTTGCTTTGTAACCATCAACCAGTTAACCAATACATGATACTGACATAACTTATGGATGAAAATGACATGAAATAGACACATAAATCAATCAAAATGAACAGCTTAAAACAGGGGGATATTAAGTAACAAGAATAAAACTGTCTCTAATAGCCTTCGATGTCTGACCAATTTCTTATATCCAATAAATTCCAGAACGTATTTCGTTATGTTGGGGCTTCAGACCTATCGGTAACATAGAAGACGAAAACAAATAGGTCAGAATGCTGGTTGGAAATATGCGTAAATAATAGAGATGATGAAGAGTAAATAAAAGAAAAAAGCAAAACAGGGAAAAATGAAAAAAGAAAGAAAAAGAAGAAAGAGAGAGAAAAAGAAAGAAAAAAATGGAAGAAAAGAAAAAAAGAAAAGAAAATGTATAACGAAAACGAAAAAAAAAAAAAAATAATAATAAATAAATAAAATATATACCCTCACTAGAAAATATGTTAAAATGTAAGTAAATGACTACATAATTATCTACAGCCTTTTACAAGCCGTCATAAGAATGCTTGGTTTGTATATATGTGTCTGATGCAGACACCAGTGGTTTCCATTTTTTATCTCATGTGTGGCACCCAGCAGTATATATCGGCATCCTCTTCTTTAACCATCGTAGATTCATCTAAGTGCACCGTCGCCTCTTTCAAGATTTTTTACTGCTGCTCAAAATAAAATAAACA